CATTCAGTAAAGTCCATTCATTACAAAATCAAACTTTAAAAGTAAACAAAATAAATTTGAACGAATGTACTTAGAATGTTTGTACAAAATTTCTTAAGAATTTTCATAGGAACTTTCCTTCAAATTTCTATGCAGCTTATCTCCTTTTTCATCTTTTGTTCGATATCAGCACAGATGATCTTTTGCAGCCTCTTCCTGTTTTAATGAGTGCCAGCGACTCTACAATATTTCTTAGGTTGGATTCCCTGATGGTGACAACAGTGGATCATGAAAATAATGAAGATCTTCTGCGCAGCTATTACGTGATAAATTAGGCAAGTGGGAGCTGCTAGCACCTAACCATATACTATGTGGAAATAAAAACTAACAAAACCAAAATGATGCAGCGCTACCCTAATAAAATAATACAATATGGCAAAAACAAACAAAGTGATATAAATATATATATTAGAAATTCTGAAGGACCCTCTGCACACTGGTATATACCCTTTCAAGCAGACTATGCAATAAATAGGGATATTTAGTTCACACATATTGCAATACATGCTTAAGCTGGCCAACTGCATCAAAGTAATCCCTCTATGGTCAGTCCTACTCTGCTCTGCCTACGCAAATGCTACTGTGGACACAATGCTAACATAGGGGAAAAAGACACAATGGGGGAGAGCTACAAGGTTCAGGTCTGGCTACTGACCCAACAATACAACAAACAAGAGATCCCTGTGCTCAAATCCCAAAAGCTAGTGCATGCATTTATCCATCAGGTGTTAATATGTCGTTACACCCCTTTAGCACCTGGTGGATAAATGCATGCACTAGCTTTTGGGATTTGAGCACAGGTATGTCTTGTTTATAAATATATATATGTGACAAAAAAATCAGTGGATTTATCCTCTCTGGGGATCTCAATATAAAGTGACATAAAATATATATACGTGCCAATAAATCAGTGGATTGATCCTCTCTGGGATCTCAAGTGAAAAAGTGATCACACCTGGTATAAAAAACAGAAAGCAATACCCCCACTATCCAAAATAGGATCATACACAAAATAAAATAAACCACAAATAAGTGTGAATCCCTAAATAGGGATCAATAAATTCATGCAAATGATGGTGAAAATGAGAACGTGAATCCCTAACACGGATCAACAATCTCATGCAGATCGTGACAAATAATGGCTAAATTAAGTCAAAAAGTAAATAGTGACATAAAATGGATCCCTAAATGTGGGATCAATTAAATACAATAGTGCCAAAAAACACACATACAAAAAGTATATTTATGAGCAAACACATAAAAAAAAAAAAAAAATAAGTGAACATAAAATAGTCCGTAAACATAAAAAAAAAAACGAAAAATGAAAAAATAAAAAAACTTAAAACAACCAAGTCCAAATACGTGCATATACACCAAAAACTTTCCAATTACTCCTAAGCGCAGGTGATATTGTGGATGTGCATCACCACCGATGGAAATAATCCGTATGTTGCTAAAATGCCCCTTCACCTCCTTGATGTGACCCTCAAAGGGCCAAAACGCTTTTGTTATTTGAAGCCAGGAATCTTCACTGGTAATGGACACCTGCTCAGGTAGATGATATCCCCCTCACTAGGAACAGCCGGGTCCCCTCCAGTATAAAGCACCCAGCCACCAACTCACAGATAGGATAAAGATAAAAAGAAACCTCCCATAGTGTAAATCCGTTTTAATAGGGACTCTCTAATCACAGCACAGCCAAATGCCCACTCACATTTAATAAGATTATAACAAGCTTTTCAAAAGACCTCATGCTAAAGGTGTACTTGCATGGGAACTCACTGGGTGCAGCAAGATGGTGTCCGCGCCGGAAGTACGTCACCACACTTGCATCCTACGCGTTACATCATGCTATCACGTGACTTTTTCAAGGCCCTAATGTTTCAGCCTTTGCAAAACTAACCAGTCAAGAAATCAATCAATTGAAAATATATCCCTCAGAAAGAAATATGTCTCCACAAGAAAAACAAGCATTGCAAGATTTGGTGGCCAATCCTGATAGCACTATAAAGCCTTCCGATACAGGAGGTAATATAGTGATCATGGATAATAAACAATATCTGTCCATGTGTTATAAAATTCTTCAATATAAGGAATGGTATCGTCCCATACCTTCTACACTGATTCATAAATTTCAAGATGATTATTATCAATTCATTGATTTAGCTTATCTTAATGGTGTCACCACCAAAACCTAGTGGGAATTTGTGAGAATTAGTTTCCCCCACATTCCCACTTTTTACTCCTTACCCAGGGTACATAAAGATCTCAAAATACCCCCTGGTAGACCAATAATTTCAGGAAATGGCTCACTAACCAAAATATCTTAGCAGATTAATTGATGACCATCTAAGACCATATGTGACAAGCTTACCTACCTATGTGAAGGATCAAAATCATGATGGACTTCAAATTTTCTCTTCAGCCCTTCTAGTCGCTATTGACATTGAGGTGCTATATAGTTCCATACCGCATTCCAAAGGTCAGGCCTGTATTAGACATATTCTCTCTCAAAAAGTTTGTGATAATTGGTGTTTTAATGAATTCATTGTGGAATCATTCAATTTAATTTTGCACCATAATGTTTTTGCCTTTGATGGTTCCCATTTCCTCCAGATACAGGGAGTAGCGATGGGCACATGTTGTGCCCCATCCTACGTCAATCTGTACCTGGAGGAGTGGGAACATACCCTGATGAACACTAATGAATTGGCCTCTTATGTTGAATTGATTTCCTTATGGTATAGATACATCGATGATGTATTTATGATATGGGAGGGCTCTATTCTTGAGTTAAATAATTTTTGGATAAAATTAGTGCCAATGATCTTAACTTAATGTTCAGTATGTCTTTTTACAGTAAAACAATTTCTTTTTTGAATGTCCAGATTCTTAAAAATGAAGATGGTACTTCGAGCAGCGTTCTTTATCGTAAGTCCACTGCAGGTAATACTATTTTACATGCTAACAGCTGCCATCCTAGTTCTCTTGTAAATTCTATCCCTAACAGCTGTAACTGTTCAGATGATGAGTCCTTTAAGAAGGAAGCAGATAAGTTGAAGCAACGTCTTCTGGTAAGAGGATATTCCCCCGTATGTCTTAAAAAGACATAACTTACTCTATCAAACTACTGACAAAAAAAGATAATAATCATGTCTAAATAATAACCAAATTCTCGAATCAACATATGCAATTTAAAAAGATTGTGCAAAAATATTGGCACCTTTTGACCACTGATCCTACGATCAACTAATTTGTATCGGAAACAATATGTAGCAGAGTACATTTTGGACTACATTTATGATGAAATTTGATTTTTTAAATCTTTTTACCGGACATGTTTAATAGCAAAAAGTAAAAAATATTGTTTTTCCAAATGTTTGGTCTTTTTTTGTTTATAACACAAAAAATAAAAAACGCAGAGGCGATCAAATACCACCAAAAGAAAGCTCTATTTGAGGGGAAAAAAAAGATGGAAATTTCATTTGGGTGCAGGGTTGCATGACCGCGTAATTGTCAGTTAAAGTAACACAGTGCCGTATAGCAAAAAAACGGCCTGGTCAGGAAGGGGGTAAATACTCTGGAGGCCAAGTGGTTAAATTTGGATATGGCTCGTTATCTTTTCAACTCCTGTAACAAAGAAGGTAAAGAAGTAAAGGATTCCACCATGTAGAAGAGAAGGTCAACTTTGTGTTGGCGATTACTAGCGCAGATACCCTTAATATTTTGGTTCATCCTGATGTGTTAAAGAAAGGTTCAAATGATAAGACAAAGTGTAGGGGCAATAGGGGACAACCCTGTCTGTGTCAGGGCTCCTGGGTATGACCAGAGGTATGTGAACTGACGCAGGGAAACGCAGGCTTCAGATACGTTATAAACAATATAATTTATTAACACTAACAATACATAAACGCAGTGCAATACTAAAACATAACACAGTGCAAACGAACCAAACCACCCACAGATAACAATATATACAATGCAAACGTCGTCAGGCAGGCCGGGTCAATAACAACGGAGCAGGTCGGTACAAAACAGCAGGCAGAAGAATAAACGGGTCACGGTCCGGGTTTGGCAACAGGAGATCAAAAGTGCAGGAGCACGCAGGAGAATGGTCAGGCAAGCCAGGGGTCAGAGCAGGAGAAGTCAGCAGAGGTCCGGATCAGGCAGGGTCAGCAACGAATCAGTCAGACAGGAACAGGAACAGGAACAGGGGCCCATAGAAAAGCACACACCAAGGCACAGACTGCAGGTCTGGCCATCCCTTAAATACACCTGCATAATCAGCCTCAGGTGTTTGGCTGGCTGCAGGGTTGAGTCTCTGATTGCTGAGAGCACCCGCTGGCCAGCCCTGGTACTGCAGCCCACAAGGCAGGTGAGTCCCACCTTTACTGGCAAGTCCATTCCTGACAGTACCCCCCCCCCCTCAAGGAGCGGCCTCAGGATGCTCCAAACAGTCCTAGCTGGGCAAAATGTTCCACCGCCCGGGTCTGGTAACTGGCGGGATATCAAAGACTGGCACATCGGGCAGGACTCCGGGCAGCGGCACATCGGGCAGGACTCCGGGCAGCGGCACATCGGGCAGGACTCCGGGCAGCGGCACATCGAGCTGGACTCCGGGCAGAGGCACATCGAGCTGGACTCCGGGCAGAGGCACATCGAGCTGGACTCCGGGCAGAGGCACATCGAGCTGGACTCTGGGCAGAGGCACATCGAGCTGGACACCGGATCACCAGGCGGAGCAGCAGGCACCGGGCCACCAGGCGGAGCGACAGGCATCAGGCCCCCAGGCGGGGCGGCGGGTGCCGAGCCCCCAGGCAGAGCGGAGGGCACTGGGCCCCCAGGTGGAGCGGCGGGCGCCGGGCCCTCAGGAGGGGCGACAGGCATCGGGCCCCCAGGAGGGGCGACAGGCTTAGGGCCCTCAGGAGGGGCGACAGGCATCGGGCCCCCAGGAGGGGCGACAGGCATCGGGCCCCCAGGTGGGGCGGCAGGTGCCGGGCCCTCAGGCAGAGCGACAGGCATTGGGCCCCCAGGAGGGGCGACAGGCATCGGGCCCCCAGGAGGGGCGACAGGCATCGGGCCCTCAGGAGGGGCGACAGGCACCGGGCCCCCAGGCGGAGCAACAGGCATCGGGCCCCCAGGCGGAGCGGGGGGCGCCGGGCCCCCAGGCGGAGCGGCGGGCACCGAGCCCCCAGGCGGAGCGGTGGGCGCCGGGCCCCCAGGAGGGGCGGCAGGCACCAGGCCCCCAGGCGGAGCGGTGGGCACCGGGTCATCAGGCACGACAACGGGCATCGGGTCACCAGGCATCAGGTCATTTGGCTCGACAGCGGGCACCGCGTCATCTGGCACGGCAGTGGGCACCGAGTCACCAGGCATGACAGTGGGCTCTGAGTCAATTGGCATGACAGCGGGCACCGGGTCATCAGGTACCGGATCGTCTGGCTCGACAGCAGGCACCGGGTCATCTGGCGCTGGATCGTCTGGTTCGACAGCAGGCATCGGGTCACCAGGCATGACAGCGGGCACTGGGTCATCAGGCGTGATAGGATCATCAGGCTGGATCAGTTCATCAGGCTGGGTACAGACATCAGGCGGTTTGGATACTGGCAGGATGGTACTGGTTGGAAAGAATTTTCGCTTTTTTTCTGGTTTTAACTACTGGAGCACTGCAAGTAAACGCAGGTCTGCAAACGAATGGAGCAGCTGAGGACAGAGAAGAGCTGGAAGATGGAACAGAGGAGGGAGCAGTTGCTACAGAGGACTTCTTTACAGGGTTAAAGAAAGGATAGGTGCAGCGAGTGGGAGCAGAGGACTGGTATGTGGTAGTTAGAGTATACTGGGCAGTCACTGGGGGTGCTGTCGGGGATGCAGGAAGAGTGCCTTGAGTGGAGGAATGATGTTGTAAGCTGACTGAGGCTGGGTGCAACAAGTCTGACCATGTCTGCAGTATGGGTTGAACAAAGCTCCGCTTACACAAAGCCTGTCTGGTCAAAGACTGCACTGTGTTTATACAATCTCTTAGTACCTGTGGTGAACATGCAGAATAACGCTCCAGAAAGTAACCCACATCATCCTCTAATAACCATACCAGGGACTCTACCTGGTCGGCACTAAATGGCGGCAAAAATTCATCCCTGCATTCGGGGGTACCAGATGAAACCAACTCAGCACAAACCTGAATCAATGGCTGCACCTCAGAGAATTCTGTGCCCTGATCTACTAGAACATGAGCGATCCGTATACACTCTAGTAGTTGATCCCTGGGATACTCCTTCAAAGTCTGATAAGCATATTCTCTGTCATCAAACACTAGCAGAGATAAATACACAACCTCATCCAGATCCATCCTTCCCAGCAACAAGCCAAGATGGCTTCCCTGTGCAGCCACTTCTGGTCAGGATTGGCCTTGGTGTAATGTCAGGGCTCCTGGGTATGACCAGAGGTATGTGAACTGACGCAGGGAAACGCAGGCTTCAGATACGTTATAAACAATATAATTTATTAACACTAACAATACATAAACGCAGTGCAATACTAAAACATAACACAGTGCAAATGAACCAAACCAAACCACCCACAGATAACAATACATACAATGCAAGTGTCGTCAGGCAGGCCGGGTCAATAACAACGGAGCAGGTTGGTACAAAACAGCAGGCAGAAGAATAAACGGGTCACGGTCCGGGTTTGGCAACAGGAGATCAAAAGTGCAGGAGCAGGCAGAAGAATGGTCAGGCAAGCCAGGGGTCAGAGCAGGAGAAGTCAGCAGAGGTCCGGATCAGGCAGGGTCAGCAACGAATCAGTCAGACAGGAACAGGAACAGGGGCCCATAGAAAAGCACACACCAAGGCACAGACTGCCCGTCTGGCCATCCCTTAAATACACCTGCATAATCAGCCTCAGGTGTTTGGCTGGCTGCAGGGTTGAGTCTCTGATTGCTGAGAGCACCCGCTGGCCAGCCCTGGTACTGCAGCCCACAAGGCAGGTGAGTCCCACCATTACTGGCAAGTCCATTCCTGACAGTCTGGTCTTGTTAGTGATCAGAAAAGGTTCTGAACCAAAAGCATTTACCCTAACTGTAGCGATAGGGTTGGTGTATGGGGCCACGACGTAAGACTTAACGTGGGCTGGCATTCCAATATGTCGAAGCGTTGCCTGCAGGAAGGCCCAGTCCACCCTTTCAAATGCCTTTTTGGCGTTGGTGGAGTAGGAGAAGGATGCAGGATTGTTTTGCTGTCTCTATGATGTTCATTGTTCGATTAGTACTGCCCTTAGCCACTCTTGACTGTATGAAGCCAGCTTTATCTGGGACCACAAGGTGTTGTAAAAGAGTATTCATCCTACTATTTTGGTAAAAATTTTGATTATCACAGTTCAGTAGGGAAATAAGCCTGTAGTGTTGTGGGCTATTAATGACTAATTTTAGATTAAGGGTTCCAGTATGTGAGGGTATTATTGTGTTCTTTCTGTTAGGATCACATCTGTGTGGTATGGTAATGCATACATTATGTACCAGATGCTCCAGATGAGTACACTTGCTCTCCGGTGGTCTCTCTACAGAGGTCTGGCACCCCTGTACTGAATCAGACTTACGACTCTGCAATCAGAATATTTCATGCTTCCTGTTGATTGGAGAGCTCTAGTTCTAGTTGAGGGGTATGCATAAATGACACTGTCTCCCAAAAAAAAACTTCTTATGACCAAACATTGGCATGGAGATAGTGTTGATGTATGGTGTTCCGGGCTTTAAGTTCATTACTTCTGCAAACCAAAGGGTATCCATGGCCACCTTGGGACGATTCTGGAGAGTGAATCTAGGATTGAAGTGCCACACTATAATGTTAAAGTCCAGATATAAATTTATTCCACTGTAAAATCAGATGTTCTGTCTGATTCTATCTGTAAGACTTGCCTTCCTTCCCCTTTTGTTTTGGTGCACCTAGACTGCATTTACCAATTTAAACTTAAAGTTCATCTGGGCTTTAAATTAAACTGTGGACACATCTCAAAACACTGAGGTCATAAGGGGTACCAGCAAACAGTAAAAAAAAATGTTCGAAAGCTGCACAAAAAGTGATTGTATGAGCTGGAATTATTTTTAAATCACTTGATGACTGATGTATGTGTAAAAGGATAAATTCACCTTTGGGAACATGTTACATGTTCCACCTGTTTTTAGGGTGGAACATGTAATATGTTCCCATTGCTGCAGCTGCCACCTGCTGCACCCTCCCTCTAACAGAAGTAATGAGAGAAGTTCCCCAGTACTAGCTATCAGATTTGAAAACAGTGTGGGAGTCTGCCCATATGGCCACGTCATTCACAGAGCTATATGAATGAATGAACTGCAAGTCCCGACATCCTAAGTGGCTGTCAACTCGTCGTTTTCAATTAACCACCACGGCGCTGTGGAACGCCATGGTAGTTGATTGAATCTTTCTGTCAGCATATCTGCTTGCCTGTACATACTGTACAGGCAAGCAGGTATACAGGCAGGTCTGCAGGAGACCTCCATGGCACCAACAATATGCTGATCGTTGGTGTAATGCTTTACAGGCTCCTACAGACAAAAATAAAAACATTTTACCTGCAAAAAAATGTGCATTTCTTATTTTTGTGCAAAAGGTGAACTTATCCTTTAAAAAAAGCAAGTGGGTATAACAGGATCAGGATCCTGGCAATGTTTTTCTCAGCCATCAATTGGCTTTCTTGTAAAAGTGATTTGGGCAGCTGTAAACTTAATGTGGATGGCTTTTACAGTGCTGCAAAGACCACAATCCCCCCCCCCCCCCCCCCCCCATGGCAGTTCCCAGGATCTCCCATTTCTTCAGGAAGCTTGAGACCAAGTTAAACAACTTGCCCACAGACAGGTGGAGGAACATCCATTCCTCAATCTCCTCTGTTTCGAAATAACCTGGAAGCATTGATGATTTTTTTTACTTCTGATTTCAGAGCTGATGTGATCTGTGCTAGCTTAGTTGCTTTGGAGGGCAGGGGAGACATAAGGGGTTTAATAGTCTCCATAAAGTGTATCTGACACCTGCCCAAAGATATCACAAGGGGGCTTGTTCGCACATAGGTTTGGCATATGTAAACAGTGGTTGCATCATACATGTGAAGTATCACTGTGAACACCAGAGTGAGAGTAATAATTCTAGGACCCTAATTCACGATTTAAGATAAACTGATAACCTATAATGGCTTTTAAAGTACAATCTACAATGTTAGGTACTGTAGTTTGTTGCCATTCTACAGGCACGCGCAATTTTAACAAATTAGGCATCTATGTATTTGATGCAACATCACCTTTTATATTTTACCAACAATTGAGTATTATATTGTTAGTAAGTAGTAAGTGGCAAAAAAAATGCTTTTAACATGTAAAAACATTTCAAAATTGCCCCGAAAAGTAAGTGGTTAATTATCCCGCAGAAGTCATTTGGTTTATTGTACTACATTGTGGATTCATTCATCACTGTTCACGTTCTATGGTGTACAGTCGTAGAATTGCTAGATAAATTTAGCACGGTCATCATTATGACCTAAATCACACGTAATATCCTCATTTGATCTGACAAATTCAGGTCTTCTGCGAATCAGATTTTATGTCAGATACTGATAATTGTGTATCACAGTGACCAAGACATGCCACGATGCTTCTGTATAGTCTGAGTCATTATATATGTCACAATTAAATTACATTTAGAAATCCTCAATGGTTCCTGTCTTATGCGTGCCACCAGTTAAAATCTTGACCAACAGAAACTGCTGTACAGTAAGTGAGCCAGATTCAGATTTTTATGACCTAACTGTCATGCACAGCCCTTTGCTACCTCTCTGTGCCATGATGATACAACATGAAGCAAGCTCACAGGGACAGAATCAGAACCAGTCTGACACAATAAAATATAAAAAAGTTTCACAAGGACATAATCAAAACCGAACCCACACAAACAGAAACAGCTTCACAGACCCGCAGACACTGTCATATTTAAAATCAGGGATCTGTGAATGAATAAACTACAAGTCCAGTCTGTCACTGCAGCAGATGGCTTGTAATTCTCAATGAACTACAAGTGAGCTGATTAGTGCACTTACAGTTTATTGACACTTCCTTCAGCTTTCTAACTGAAAGCCCATACAGAGGTACAGACAGAAAGCTGGAGAACGCGCTACAGGTTCCTGTTGCAAAAAATTATAAATGCATATTTTTTTCCTGCAAAAATATGTGCCTTTATTATTTTTTCCTTAAAGGTGAACTTTACATTTCACAAAATCTAAGCTCTACAAATATACTTACACCCACAATGTAGAATGATACAGTTGAATTTACACTCCTTTGTGTACTAGGGTTGGCTGACTATCACTTAGGTACTTCTCTTTATGTGATCCCTTCTTTATTAGGACCAGTTCTCCTTGGGCCTATGTGCAAAATGATTGCAGGAGAGTGTCGTCATTTTAGAGTTTTTTTGTATATTGAAGATCCTCTACAGCTGCTGCTATTACTGTAAATGTAATGCATCTGTAAAACCATGCAAATTCTCTGAGCTCAACTAACAGAGTTTCAAAGAAAGGAAAAAAAATATATATACTGTATATATATAAATACACTGAATTACAAAA